CCCAACTAAGATTTGTAGGCAATTTTAGTATTTTGGAATGACCCGTTCCAGTTTGGGAACGGTCTGTTCTGGGCTACTAAATCACCCTTATTGGGCTTTGGGCCTTCATATAATTTCTGAAAATTGAGGTGTTACAGATAATATGGAATCAATTGAAATCAATTGGAGATAAGATTTCTGAGCTGCTGATAAGGAGTTTATCCGTGCATTTAATGTAGTGGATTTTTCATTTTTTTTTTTGAAATCACTAAAACTTTCAAAAAAAATTTAGAATATGCATATATATATATATATATATTATACATATTTATATATAATAATCAAAATGTTTATTCTAGAAAATTATAAAAATAATTGAATTACAATATTTTAATTTGTTCAACTAAAAAAAATCCTAATGTATCAAAATAAACATTTATATTTATTTTGAATAAGGTAACTAAAATTTAAAAGAAATATATACATATATGCATTATTTTAAAAATTTATAATATTACATGGAAATTTCAGAATATTACACATTGCATTACTGTGTGTATGTGTTTATGAGTGTATGTCTATATTTGAAATTGATGTATTAATTGTTGTTATTATATTTGTTATCACGAAGAGATGAGATGCTGAGGGTTGTGGCCCATTCCCTATAGAGTAAAATTTCTCTCACTCCCTGTTTGTTTGTTGATATTCTTTTGTATGTTTTGTAGACAAGAATCCTCAATATTTTGAGGAGCAAGGATAGATCTAGGTGTCTGTGAAAACTCTGTTGCCAATGTGACACTGGGACTTTAGAGTAGTTAGGAATTTTGTTATTTCTTTGTTTAGCCTAATATATATATTCAAGTTGTAATTTGATTGCAATTACTCCATCAATTATTTTTCAAATGAACTGGTTTAATTTATTTATAACTTTGATGAGGATGAATTGATATGTTCTGAGCTATTTATATGCATTTTATAGTATTACTCTTAGGGGTAGATGGGTGTCACACTAGGTGGGGGGATTGATGGAGTTTTTCCTTCCATGGAAGAAGACAATGGTTGAAAGGAGACTCCTTGCCCTTGATCTAGGTTCACCAAGGGGTAGACAAAGGAAGGTTTTTGTGGGACAAAGGGAGATGGGCGTGAAAAGGAGGTGTTGGGCGGAAGTGTTTATGGAATGGTGTTTGGTGCTCACAAGGTTGGCTCACTCCAAAAGTGAATGGAGGCCACTCTAGGGTTCTCACTCTCCAATGGGGGAGATAGGAGAAGGTTAGCCAAAGTAACCTAGTGACTAAGGAGAAGATGTTGAGGCATGAAATGCTCACTCAAAATCTATATAATCCAAAGTATTTACAAGTGGTGGGGGGTTGGGTATTTATAGGAGGGGAGGCATCTAGGGTTGCATTTGGGACATGCATGGCCGAAATTCATAAGGCAAATGCACTCCAAATGAAATGCCAAATGAATCCTAGATGCAACTTGGTGACCAAGGATGGAATCTATGGGTCTAGATTGGCTACAACTAGGTGCATGATAAGACCATGCAACCTTTGCCCTCCACTTGGGCCTAAGCCTTTCTATCACCAAAAATAGATCCAATGCTCACCAAAAATAGGCGTCACCCTTCTAATGTGATACCTTAGCCCAAATTAAAAACCTAATCATCTAGAGCACCCCTTAATACAAGGGTAAAATAGGAAATACAAGGGAAAATAAATTCTAAGTCCTAAACACCCCAAAATACAAGGGTAAAATTGGAAATACAAGAAAATAAATTCTATACTACTCAAATTGGTCATAGCCATGAACCATGTGATGGGTTTCACATGAAGTATCAAGGATGGTCCTCCATCAGGGATATTTTTTGCTAGGTGACATCAATTGTCTTGTGGCAGAGGCCTAGGTGGGTCAGGTTATAATTGATACATGGCGCTTGGATTGCTACGATTAAGTAGAAAGAGTTGAACCTTGACTAATAACTATAACTTTTGGTCTAGTGGTAAACGTTTAATCCAATAGTCATGCATGAGTTGATTAGATAAATGAGGTTCAACCTGAAGTAGACAAAGATGGAGACTTCGATTTTACTTTTATAGGTCTTATTCTAATTAGTGTGACATTGAAGCTAGAAAATAATTGTTGCTTTGTTTATGTTTTCTTTTAAAATCACATTTTAGACTTATAATTTATTACTTTAGATTTTTTTTTAAGGATTTGTAAGGTCCTATTTATGCTTTCTACTATAAACTTATTTATATTTTATTCTCTTGTTATTAATTAAAGAGTTTTTAAATAGTTGACGAGACATGTGAATCCTTTTACAATATGACTAAAAAGTTGTATATTATTTTAATCTTTTATAATGACACATATTTTAAAAATAACTTCATAATAAATTTTTTGGTAGTATGAGAGTGTCACATTTAGTGATATTAGAATAGGTCAATTCATCACCCAATGTATTGTGTGTTTGATTTCTAGTTTGGAGAAAGCAAAAGTTTGTTTATTTGGAAGATTCCTATCAGATACTTTTCTGTTTAGTTGCCTAGGAATGTGTGCTACCAATAAAACAAACACACACATATTATGCTTCTTCCTTGTTTCCCAATTATATTTTGTGAAAGTGTTGATGTAATTTGGAAAAAAAAATTGTTTGTTTTCTATATCAAGTGTCCTGATAGCCTTGTTATAATTTATTGAGATTATCCACCTTAATACATTGTGCATTGGGAATAGGAAACTTGGTGAGTCTAAAACTTGTGACCAAGGTTAATATGCCTTTTTATCTTAGTTTGATCCATGTTAGGTTACCTCATATTTGGAGTGTCTTTGGAGATTTTGGATATTGATACCACATGTAGATAGAATTAGGAGCACGAGTCTATACAATTCCTTGAGGAATGTTATTGAATGTTTAATGTCAGTGTATTGAATGAGAATGGTTTATTAATGTTTGAGTTGACATGAATGATGTTGTGTGTTGTGTTTTGATACTATCCTTATTCTTTATATGTGCTTATACACATGTGAGATATTGTTTCACCTTTCTTGTGTTTTTGTTGTTCATTTTCTTGTTTATGCTGAATGACATGCATGAGGTGATCAAGTACTTGAGGTTGAGCTTTAAGGACTTCGATTTTACTTATATAAGCTTTGCTCAGATTAGTGTGACAACGAAGTTAGAGAATAATTATTACTTTGCTTATGTTTTACTAAGAGTTATGTTTTAGACATAATTTTTTTAATGTTCTATTTTCTTTGAAGATTTATAAAGACATGTTTGTGCCTTTGGTTGCAAACTTATTTGAATCTTACCCTCTTATTAATAATTAAAGAGTTTTTATACAATTGACAAGACATGTAAACTCTTTTAGAGCGAGATTCAGAAATTTTATTTTATTTTAATCTTTTCTGATAAGATGTATTTTTATAATAAATTCATAAAAAATATTTTAGGATAAAAATGTGTCAAACTTTTATTTATCTAATATATAAATACATTATTTTAAATTATAAAATTCATCAAATATATATATATATATATATATATATATATATATCAAAGTTTATTATCCTTTTATTTATTCACCTTTACTATATATTTACATAACGTAATCAGAACAACTGAAATAAAAAAAGAATTTCAAATAAATTATAATTTAAATAAATATTCTTTTAATAATTACTATCAGAAATAAAGACATTAATATATTTGTGTGTTCACATTTCTATCAAAATAAATTTGCTTTTGTATAATCTTTTTTGTGCTTTCATCACTTTTTCTTCCCCCTAAATTCAAACCAATAATAACATTTTAGACATTAATGTACATATTCACAATAGATTAACATAATTTTTTTTAACTGGTGTTTATTTATATGATGTAAATGTGATACATTATAATAATTTTTTTATTATATATTGACATGTATATTGTTTTAGTTTAATATTTTTTTAATACATGTTTATCTGTATAAATAAATAAATAATATATATATATATATGTGTGTTGATATTAAAAACTGATTAATTACCGCATATTTTTATCTAAGACTGTTATATAAATTTATTAAATAATAATTTTTGATCCATAAGAATTCATCATGAGTACCAAGAGAATTTACGAAATTCACTAATTGCGCTCAATCATCTAAGATATACTCCCTTGATTTATTTATTAAATAATATAAATATTTAATATATTTTTTAATAATGCGTTATAATAGATGAATTTTTTTATTCAACAAAATAAATTATACTAAATGCAATCAATTAATTAAACAATTACATTTTATTCAACAAATTAATATAGAGCGATGTAAAAATGTTTAGGAAGAGAACTTAATATATTTTGTTATATATTAAGCATTTTTAATATAGTAAATATTTTACTTATTAAATATTTTTCAAAATTTATTTTTTCTTAATCGTTATTTTAAACCTATATGCATATTTATTAGCATTTTTCCTATTACCACATTATGGATACACAAAAAAGATGTAAATGTTTTTTTAGAACGTAGAAGATGTAAATGTTAGTAACAAAATTTTAAAATAAAGTTATTATAATATTAAAGAAAAATTTAAAAGCCTTGGTATATTTATTTTTTTGACAATAAATAAATATTTGTTTCTACAAACTGAAAGAGAGAAGGATAAAGGGTGAGAAAGTTTCTTATGACAATATCAAAATATTTAATTTTTTTATGATACCATAGAATTTTTTCGGTTTGAATAAATTTCTCACATACATATTTATACAAAACAAAAGAAAATGAGGTTTTTAAACATTAAAATCAATTTATAAATTTAATTTTTATGGAAGTTCTCTCCTCTTCTTTTTCCAAACAAAATACATAAATTGACTATAGTGATAAAAATTAATTTATTTTTGCCTAATTTATCCAAATAATTAGAGAAATAGAGAGACAAAAATGTTGAAAGAAGGTAGGGGGAAGAGAGCTTATGTCCGAAAAAGAAAAGTGGCAATGAAAATTGAGAATTGACAATGAAAATTGAGAATTGACATTGATTGTCGTTTTGTATTGTATGTGAAGAAAAGAAAATGGGCATTTGTGAATTGTGATTTGGTTTTGTCATTCTCTCTCTTCACTCACACCTAACTGTCTATTGTTGTTGTCTTTCTCCGACCACATTACATACAAACACAAACACATGCACTCTCAACACAACACAACACACACATTCCTTTGCTGAAGTTTTTGTTTTTTCAGACGCTCTCAATCCATTGCCTTCTCCACTCATCAGATCTCTTTCTCACACAAGGTACTTTTCCTTTTTTTTTTCAAAATATTATCATTTCTTTTCTCATGTTCAAAATTTGTGCTTTGTCACTAGCATATGCTCGGTTTTGTTTGTTGTATTGTGTTGTGTTGTGCTCTGCATGATCTCATTATGACCCTGGATTGGTTGCATGCAAACGGTTCTTCCTTTTGTTTTTGTTTTTTAACCCCAACTTGTGTTCTTCAATTTTTCTGTTGTAAAATTTAGTCTTGAATTCTGGGCTTACTTGTTTTAAGAAAGTGTTTTGTTTCTTAATTGATGTTTCTGTGTCTGTTTATTCTCATTTTTTTTCTTCCTTTTTTTACTTAGAGGGGAAATGGGTCTTGATATTGTTACCAAAGGGTTTTAGACCGGAAGTTTCACAGCACCTTTGTGGTTTTGAATGTGGGGTTTAGGGTTTCAATGGGAATTTAGTTGAGACTGATGTGTCTTTGAGCCTGCATGCAAGGTATCAATGGTCTTAATGCCCCTTTTGATGTTTATATGGAGAGAAATGGATGAATTTTGTAGTTTTTTGTTTTTATTTTTATTTTTAGTTTTTTCTCTGAGAATGAGTGTGAATTTCATTTGCTTAAGTAAATTTCTGGGTTCTTCTGTGAAAGGCTAGTCTGGCACAAGGTGCACAAGGTTTTAAATTGTGGCTGTGGTTGGTTTCAGACTTTCAGTTTATTCATGATCCTTGATGTTAAGGGAAATTGCGGCAGCCGGTGTGGTGGCAATTGCAGTATGTGGTCGGTCGGCATGACTTTAAATCTTGATGTTGCAGCTGAAATTGTGGTTGCAGATTGTTTTTTAAAAAACTTTAGCCTGAATTGTTTGCTGGAGTTCATTTTTCCTTATAGTTTGTCTGTCCTCTGTTTCACCCTTGAAGATTCAGTTTTGAAGTTTATTTTTACTGTCTCTGGATTGTGAATTTGTTAAAGGGACAAAAAATAATTCAATTTTGTCATTTTAATATTATTTTAGTATTTTTTGTTTCATAAAGAAATAAAATAGTTTAAAGTGCTGTTAAATTATGGGTTCCTCGATTTCATTTTTCTCGGACTGGTTTGAATCCTTTAAATTTCAAATTATTGTGATCAAAGGACATTATTGCTCTATCTCTGCATGCCTGTGGATTCAATTCTTTTGTCCCCCAATTGAAAACGGACACTTACAACAGTCACATCCAAAGCCCTATATCATAAGATGGAGTATGATGCCATTTTCTATGTCAAAAACTAAATTTCAGAAGAATGAAGAGCATTTAGATTAAGTTTTATTTATCTTTTTAGTGGTTTATCTTGGTGTTTTTTTTGGTCTTCCACTCTTCCTTGTTGAGCTATCATAGGCAAGATTCTGTCATTTTATACTCAGGGTTGTCCATATGGATTAAACGACCCAATTTACCTAAACATAAGTAGTGAATTGAGTTCAGTGTTTCTTTGCTTAGTTGTCAGGTTGTGGTCAGCCAGAGGATGATTGGGGACAGAAGATTTGATTGGACAATCCTTGCTTCCCTTCACTTTACTCTTTCCTTTTCACTTTATTTGGAAGCTTGCAAGGCTTTTAGGTTACTGCAGATCTTATGAAATTTTAAGTTGATCACCACAGAGGTGCTAATTTCAAATTTTGTATTTGTCAGGTGTTCTAATTATGTGAGGCATAAGATTGAAGACTTTGATCTGTTGCTTTTTCCCCTTCAGTGGTAAAACTTATGAAATATGGCGTGAATTGTTAACTCTGATAATTGGTTACCTGGGATCCGAACTATGGGGTCTCAAGGTGGTGGTGGTGATGAAAATGGAAGACATTCACAGCAGCAGCAGCCTTTGGTGCAGCAAAATTCAATGTACAGTCTAACACTCGATGAAGTTCAGAATCAATTAGGTGACTTAGGGAAACCACTAAGTAGTATGAACCTTGATGAGCTTCTAAAAAATGTGTGGAGTGCTGAGGCGAACCATTCCACTGGTGTGGACATTGAGGGTACTGCTCCAACTAGTAAAGCTGCACATCAGCATCAGGCTAGTTTGTCATTAACTGGTGCTCTAAGCAGGAAGACTGTTGATGAGGTATGGAGAGATATACAACGAAGCAAAGATAACAAAGATAAGAAGTCTCAAGAGAGACAGCCTACACTCGGAGAGATGACGTTGGAGGATTTCTTGGTAAAAGCAGGGATTGTTGCTGAAGCATCTTCTAATAGAAAGAATGACGGTCTTACACTTGGTGTTGATTCAAATGTAGCAGCACCACAGTTTCCTCAGCATGGTCCTTGGATACAGTATCCACAAACACAATATCAGCATCCACAACAGGGTTTAATGGGGATTTATATGCCTAGCCAGAATACAGTGCAGCCATTACACATGGGAGCTGGTGCTGCATCAGATGTTCCATATGCAGATAGTCAGGTAGCATTGTCTTCACCTGTTATGTTAAACTTGTCAGATTCTAGGAGACATGGGAGAAAACGGGGCACATCAGAGGATATGGTAGAGAGGACTGTTGAGAGGAGGCAGAAGAGGATGATCAAGAATCGCGAATCTGCTGCCCGTTCTAGAGCAAGGAAACAGGTGAGCATTCTCTTTCTTTTGAATGTCATGCTGTGTTTTTTTTAGTAAAAATCCTTAACTTGAATGATAACTATAATCAGGCTTACACAACTGAGTTAGAGCACAAAGTCTCACGTTTGGAAGAAGAAAATGAAAAGTTGAGGAGACAGAAGGTTTGGTTCTTCTTTGAATTTCTAGTTTTGTTCCACTCAATATTTTCTGTTAATTCAAAGTGCTGAATATAGCTTGCTGTATATCAAGTACAATCACAAAAAAAATTTGGACAATCTTAATTGGGACATTTTATACTCACCTGCCTTCAAAAGATGAAAATACAGTCAGTGCTCACAGTCTTGACTTAAATATTTGATAAAAACTCTTAGCTGAAGCTGGACGTGATTGTTAAAAGTGTTTGTGTTGATGTTTTGATGGGAAGGATAAGGCAATTCCATGACTGGGGGAATTTTTTTCTTCACATTTTCCCCATTTGCATTGAAGGGATGAAGCTTCTCTTATTTCCTTCTCAGCTTTGCATTGTATTGTTTTTTTGAGTTTTTGAGAAACAACTTGTTTATATAGATAATGGACCATGGTGGTTGGTTTTTCCATAGTAATTATCCAATTATTTATCGATATATTTTAGGTTGACATTCAGCTGGCTAACATTATTGTAATCTGTGGTAATAATGATATGCTCGATTGAGTTTGACGAGTTTTAAATTCTAACTAGTAAATCAAAGAAATCAGGTGAATTTGTTCAAATTTTATTACTTTTAGTCTTGTCCATGTTGATGAACAAAACTATTTTTTGATGTTATGGCTTTTGTTAATTTTTCCTGTGCTGTTCATAACAGAAATAAGTTGTTATCAATAATCATTGAGCTAACCCTTTGACGGGTTTTCTGACTTATATTGTTCAAATTGGAATTCTTTTATTGATTAATTGTGATAGACTAAAATGGTTTAAGGATGGAGCATTTGATTAACATGATATCCTCAATACATTTAATAAAGATTACCTAATACACTTTAAAATATGATTCTATAGTTATTTTATTCTCTTGCTTTACTTTTATTTTATTTTATTTTGGTAATGACTATTATGAAATACCTGAGCTGTTCTAATGGGTATTTTGTATCTTGTTAACAATTATGATACTACTGAATTATTTAGTGTGAGGATTCTTTTTACTCCTATAAAGTTCTTTTTTGTTTTTATTAGCTAGTCACTTCTTCTGAAGTGGCTATTTTTACATTAATTCATGGAAAAGTAAAAATTGGCTTGCATTAGGAGCAAAAACTGGAGGAAGAAGGTTGGAGAAATTTTTTTTTTTTATTAAGCTTGGTTTTTTAGTAGGGATCACTAGCTAGTCTTAACATATTATGAACTTTGTAGAATTATTACGTCACTGTTGTTATCTCCTTTTGTCACTGCTTAAGCTTGTACAGATACATTAAGATTTGTTAAAAAAAATATTTGAGTCAGGTTCAATTGTTGCGATAAATATACAGAAATGATGAAGTAAAATATGGCTCAACTCTTGGGATAGATATAATAAACATTCAGGATCTATACATAACAACTTTAAGCTTCTGAGAGAGTTGGTCCTTGAGATCGTATTGAAGCCTGTGACTAACTGGTCAGGAATTTAATCCTTTTTGCTGCCAGGTGAATTTCTGCACAAATTTGGGTTTTTGCAGTATACACACTCACTAACGCACGGCCAGCCCAATGATAAGTGATGCCTAAAGCAAATTTTTAGAGTTTTTTTTTTTGTTTTTTTTAAGTGAGAAAATATGTTAGGTCTTTTTGCTAACACAAGGCCTTTTTTGTCAACATATGAGGCCTTTTAACTTCATAAAATCTGAGGACAAATATGATTTTGTCGGTGGATCAAAAACTTAAGCTTTAGTAGCCTTACTCTTAGGTAAGTCTTGCATTATTGTTGTGCTCTTGCTCGAGGAGTGTGTTAGATATAAAATCATTCATGAGTCTTCCCCTAACATACTAAGCTTCAGGGGTTATTGGTCCTTGGCAGTTTGGGTTATCACATGCATACAAAGATACTAATATGAATCTCACTAGTTTTACAAGTTACAAAATTTGCTTAGACCTTGTGACAATTTAGCCTCTTGGAGCATCATTAGTTTCCATCTTACATAGTTACACTTTCATGACTGGTGTTATGCATCTTGAACTATATGCACATTATTTTCTGTTGATCCATGTATTTTGACCTGTTGTGGATTGGGTTGGTATGATCGTTTACTTTCATTTGTTAGTTTCACCTTCCCCGATCAGTCTCCTACAATGGAAGTAATTGGTAATAAGATCATGAAAGGATCAAATCATAGTTATTAATCCTTCATACAGCTGCCATACTCTGCAAAATCTTGTTGAATGTGTGTAGATGGTATCCATAATCTTCTCTGCCTATTCAAATCGTGGAAATGAGTTTTCGTTAAGTGGTCTTTAATGCATGCTGCTTCCTTGTTCCTTTATTAATTTTTCTCCTAAACTTGCAGGAGCTAGAGAAAATGTTATCCAGTGTCCCACCTCCTGAACCTAGATACCAGATTCGGCGAACGACATCGGCCTCGTTCTGACATCTGTACAATGCAGGGTTGTAGATATGAGTATCAAGGGATGCTTCTTTTAGTGTAATGTGAGTTGACAACTACCTTGTCTCTCAGGAGTAGTAGCTATTTGATGCATTTGCATCCAACGGCTTTTGTTTTTTTTCCCCCCTTTTTCTTCTTGTTAGTAGGATTGTCTAATTATAACGCCTCAGTGAAATCCTTGTAGTAAAAATTTCCTGGGGAATATTGTAGTTTTACCATTCATTATATAGCTTTTCTAATCATTTGTTGAGTTTATTATGAAACCTTGATAGTGGCTTGAATCTAGGGGATGCCATGGTTGTTGGGTCTAGAAATTTTTGAAGTTACTGGGAAAAAGGGTTGCTCTTAAAGGGATATGCACATGAACATCAGTCATTATTAAACCATAAAAATTTTAAGCCCATTTCCAGATCCTTTAATGTTGCAGTCTATAAATTAATGCATTCATGAAAAATGCTACTAAGGATTCTTTTTTCTTCACTTTTTAACACATTTTTTGGGTGAATTTCATGGTTTCTTGATAGGAGATCAACAAAATCCTATTTGTCACAAAAAACAAACCGAGATTTTAATGTAAATTATTTGGATGCAAGGGTAAAAATCGCCATAATAATCCATCTCCACTATGATGAAATTTGGATGTACAAATATTTGTAACAAGTGCACAAATTGTACAAATGGTAAGTCCAATAAGAATGAAGTAAATGAAAAATGTTTGTCTACAAAGCTGTTGTCCAAACTGATTTACTCAAATTTACAGACAAGACAACAAATCATCAATTCAATTGTTCACTTTGAAAAGTAGAAATCTTAACTCTGTTATCAAAGTTTCAGCATGATTTAATGGTTAATGAATTTATAATTGTGATTTGAGTTCGACAGAAGCTGTCAATCCAGTGGTCAATAAAATCATTATTGTGGGAGGAGTAATGATACAATCTTCGAAATTTTGTCCAAAAATACGTTCGAATTAATTATGATTGACATTTATAAATTTTTTTATTATAAAATATAAATTTTAATTAAAAAGAAAAAAAAAACTATTTAATTAGTTGGAGTATGATTCGAAACATCCATTCGGAGGATATATCATTTTTCTTGTAGGAGATTTTTAACATGTCTTCCGATGGAAATGCAATTTTTTTTGGGTTTTTATTTTAATCAATATGGTATAATTTTTTCCCCCAAAATTTCAAAAATGGTTAAATTATACAAGATTTCTGGAAATGGGGTATGTCGGATTTCAGAGGCACGACATGTAAAAATACAAATTTTGTTTAAAAACACAACTTCTAGATTGATATTTTAAGTAAAACATTAGAGGTCATGTTTTATAACATGATTTATTTGGTTTTATTTTTATTTTTATCAAAATAAAATTTGAAGTCGTGTTTCTATTCACGACCGTTTTTTTTTTTTTTTTTTCATTTTCTTAAAATTCTTTTTTGAGAAATCGTGTCTTAAACATTAACTTTTTTGAGATCCACTTATTCAAAAAGTAAGTCTATTTAGATTTACTCTACTCAATAATTTATATTTTATATTAAATTTAGACGATTTAATTATTGAATTAAAAGTTCTTAATGTGTAGATTGGACATGCAAATTTAAAAAAAAAATTAAAAATTGTTTGATACTCTAATTCATTAATTCAAATCAATGTATGAAATGTTTTTTTTTTTATTATCTATCAATTTGAATTTAAGAAATAAAGTATCAAATTATAAGTGATATACACGTATAAAGTGATATGAATTTTCAATTTAACATTTAGATTTACAAAATTCACATTTAATTTAATGTTATTGTGCAGTGTAACACTACACCGATGTCGTTTAAACCCTCCTCATATATATATATATGATCGTTTAC